CTGTTTCCCTGAGTTGGTAGGGTGGCTTTGTGTGCTAGGTGTCGTATAGAGCCCAGGGGGTTGGCCTCCCAGTTACCTGAGTTGTATACTCTTGGTGTATCCCTTTGTGGACTGTGAGTACAGACTTGTAGTTAAGTTTTGATTCTTTTTGTTTCACTGGGGAAATTGACTTCTAGGCCAGTAGGCTGTGAGGAAACGCTGTGTCTATAATGGAAGAACTGTTGTTCTGGAGACACACTGATGGGGCAGGACTTGTTCCATTGGGGCTTTGGTGCTCACTGAGTCTGCCTCTTGAATGTGTCCACTTATGGAGAGACAACACCAGATCTCAAATACTCACACTTATGGATGTGAGTATTTGAGATCTGGTGTTGTCTCTCACTGACCACTAGATACACTAGCTTCTGGATCTCCAATGGGGTGCAGGTCAGCTACTGTCTGAAGCCACCCTGAAGGAACTACAGCGAGAACTACAGTTTTCGCCTCTCTGCTTGGGTTTGTTGGTTTTGGAGCTGTCTGACCAGAGCTGCAGTTTGTTAGGTTAAGCTGTGATAGGGCAGGCCATTTATATGCAAAAAGCTGCTGCGTGGAGCTTGGGTGGGATTGTAGATTGTGTGGGGCGGGGTCTCAGGGAGTCACTAGGCTAGGGCATGGCAAACAGCTATGGCTGTCAGTCAGCCGTCTCTGTGTCTTCGTGTTTCCAAGTCCCCGGGCCCCGTGTCTCAGCACAGTAAACAATGATTGCTGTGTGCACATCTGCAAGAAACCCACCCTCACTTTCTGACCAGATGGCAGACAGTCCAGCTTCTCCCTGTAGGAGTTTGGGTCCCCAGCGTCTCCCCAGAAACTGGAGTTCAGACTGCGTGCCTCCTTACCTCCACTTTTCAGCGCTTTTGCATGTCTCAATGCTGTTTTCTTTTTCCTTCTAGCTGTAGAACCTCCAATTAGCCAGCTTTCCAGTGGTTCTGGGTGATAGACGTTTTGTCTTTTATAATAGTTGTGGTTTTGAAATTGTTGTGCGAGGCAGCAGTTTAGGTGTTTACCTAGGCTGCCATCTTGGTTTCCCTCAAGCATGTGACTTCTTAACATTCTTTACAAGGATGTAGAATGACCCTTTACTAGTATAGAATTATTCATTTTTATTTAGACATGTTTCAGAACTAGTTTTCAAGAATGCACAGTCCTTGTTTTAAAGAAGCTTGCTATTCAGTAGAAGTGTGAAATATGAATAGAAACATCAAAATATATGCAAGCATAGAAAGACAGAGTACATACTTCTATATTGTGATTAAATCTGTGAAAGGAAGTGTGGTGCTTGAGAGTAGGACAAGGGGGACGGAGTAATAATAGCAGGTAGAGAAAGGAGGATTTTAGATGGGCAAAGCAGCTCTGATGGCTCAGAGACTTTTTACAGGAGTTTAAGTGAGTGTTTGGAAATTGAGGATGAGGTGGTAGGTTGTGGTGGAAAGGAAGCAGCCATATAATGTTTGCTGTCTTATTGGATGTTTTTGTACTGATTAAAGGTTTGAGAAGGTACAGTGGTCCTTAATTAATTTTTAGTTTTTAATCTATAAAAAGAGGATGGTAATATGACCCACCACAAGGATTCTAATGTGGATCAAATGTAAGAATTTTGTTTAACAAAACATTCAGAGTAGTTGTCTAGAATATAGCAAATTCTCATAAATGGTAGCTGCCGTAAAAATAATAATCACAGCTGGTTTAAAGCATCATAAAACGTTATTAGCCTAGCATTTAGAATGTTTTTTTTTTGTAGGTAGTGTGGAGGTTGGTGGACTAATGATAGAGGAGATATGGAGCAGGTTGTAAAACCTTTTGTAAAATTCCAGAAATCACTGAGGGCCTGATTAAGGCAGTAGCAATTGGAATAGTAATAGGTAGTAAATATTTGTGTTAGAATCAACTAGGTTTAAGTATTTAAGTGATGTTTATAAGATAGTCTGAGAAAGATGAAAGATCTAGAATAGCACTTGAGCGACTGGCTCAATGTAGACCCATCAACAGAAAGAAACAGTTGAAAAGTGAGTGGGTTAGTAGGCAGAAAAACAACAACAACTCAGTTTTAAAAATAATAATGAAATGCATATGGAAAAATTGGGTTTGCTGAGTTTGAGAGGAGTCAGGTAAATGATCCAGGTCTAGGAGATTTGGGTTGAGTTTAGGAATGAGAGCATGTGAGCTGCTATAAAAGGGGGAAGAAGGATGGTTGAGATTTCACCAAAACACTGGAGAGTTAGCAGATGAAGAGGTACCCCAAAAGGAGTGCTTGGGTTATTTATTGAATTCTTATTATCTGTTAAGCTCCATAAATATATTAACTTTCCCCTCCCCCACTTAATTGTTGTAGTATCCCTATGCAGAGAAAGAAATTACCCCAATCTTAGCTGTTTAAAACAACACAAATCTATTATAATTTCACAATTTCTAGGCATGATTTGACTTATTCTTCTGCTTCAGGGTCTCTTTCTGTGTTGGCTAGGGCTAGGGTCTTGTGTAAGGTTTGAGGAATGATCTGTTTCCAAGCTTTTGGTGGTTGTCTAGATCCAGTTCTTGGCAGGACTGAGGCCTTCAACTTCTTGCTGGCCTTTGGCCAGAGCCCAACTTCATTTTCTTGCCAGGTGAGCCTCTCCATATGGCAACTCGTTTACTTCATCAAGCTGGTAAGGGAGGGAGTCAGTTGGCATGTAAGATGGCCGCCTCATGTGGTCAAAGATGGCTGTCCCCATGTGGACACAAGATGGCTATCACAAGATGGCTGGCAGGGACGGCAGTTGAGAGGGACCAGGACTGGAAGGTAGGGCATTTGTGGGTGACCAGGCCTGCAGGGGAGGGAAGTTGGGGGGACCAGGACTTCAGGTGAGGTCAATTGGGAGGGGAACAAGGCCTGCAGGGGAAGGCAGTTGGGGCAGACAGGCCTGCAGGAGAGGCTAGTTAGGGGCAGCCAAGCGGCAAGAGAGGGTAGTTGGGGGTGAATACGCTGGTGGGGTGGGTGGCAGTTTGGGATACCAGGACTGCAGGGGAGGACAGTTAGGGGCAATTGGGCTGGCAGGAAGCAGTTAGGCGTCGATCTCGCTGGCAGGGGAGTGGTTAGGGGATGATCATGCTGGCAGGCAGAAGCAGTTGGGAGCCAGAAGTTCTGGATTGTGAGAGGGATGTTTGACTGCTTGTTTAGGCCCCATCCTGGTTGGGCCTAAACGGGCAGTTGAACATCCCTTGAGGGGTCCCATATTGGAGAGGGTGCCCACAACCAAGGTACATGATCTTGATTGGAATCAAACCTGGGACCCTTCAGTCCGCAGGCCTATGCTCTATCCACTAAGCCAAACCGATTTTGGCTATTTGATATCTTTTAATGGAGTGGTATGGGTCCAAGTCACATGTGGTTTCAGTGAATGTGCAGGTAGGAAAAAGACTGAGTAGAATTACTCTTTTAAAAGGTAATTTTAAAAGGAACAGTAACAATATATTGTCATCACATATTGAATCATTTTTCTTTATAGTAATCCAGAAATTTTTCTTTTTCAGTTCACAGAGTTTAACCAGTAATGCCATTCAGTTGCCAATATCAAGCAAAGCAAACATAAGCCAGTTATAATCTTTTTAAGTGGTAGTCCTTTTCACAGTGCCTGACGGTAAGTCACAGTTCCTACCTTTATAATAGTTTTTAATAGATCTAAGGCATTTAGAATAATGATTTGGGATATATTCATTTTAAAATCTATTTGCCTTTTCTTTCTTTCCTGATAATTTCACTGTAGAGGCCATGTGGAAAGAATTTAAAGATACTAGTTCGTGGCAATTTATTGTTATCTTTCATTAACCTTAGGGATTTTTTTTTTACCTCCTGTGGCTATACATTGAATCTGTTCCTTTATTTCTGGGGTGGGGAACGTCTGGCCTGCAGGCTGCACAAGGCCTAAGAAACCATTTGGTTTAGCGCTACCAAGGCATTAGGGGTGTTTAATTAAGTTAGCAGGCTAATTTTCAAGTTGATAATTTTGTATAGTCTGGGAATGATGTTATAAATATCCAAATGTCCCTTGGCAGAAAAAAGGTTCTCCACCCTGCTTTATTTCATAGATGTTTTATGTATACATGAGATTTTGACTTCAAATAGTGGCAAAGTTATTTTAAATATTCTGATTTTCACACTCGGCTGTTCACGAGGTGATAAAACTATTAGAGCCTGAATTTATTTTTTCTTCTTTTAAAAAAATATTTTTATTGTTTCAAAATATATTTTTATTGATTTCAGAGAGGAGAAGGGACAGGGAGAGGGAGAGAGAAATAGAATGATTAGAGAGAATTATTGATCCGCCACACACTGGAGATCAAGCCTGCTACCCAGGCATGTGCCCTTGATCTGAATCGAACCTGGGACCCTTTAGTCCACAGGCTGATGTTTTATCCACTGAGCCAAACCAGCTAAGGCAGGTCCGAATTTCTTCCGTGAAATATTTCTAACTCATGGTACAGATGGAACCCAGGCAGCTCAGGAGAAGGAATTGGAACTAACTTATTTCCCTAACTTGCAAGTTAGTGGCAACTTTTACTTGTTCTTTGTAAGTTTAACCTAAAACTTATTGTTATAAGGAAAAAGTGGAGTTAAAAAGATGTTTATCAAATTTTTAATTTTTATTCGTTTTATTTTGCATGTAGAACAGTGTGACATTAACATATAACTTTTTAAACCACTGGCCTTTTTGTTTAAATTATGTTTTAATGGTAAAACAGTTATGCATTTTATTCATTTCATTATTATGTTTTTAGGCAGCAAGTTTACTAAATTGTCCAGTTAGTCATTTTAAACATAAAAATCTATGTTATTTGGTGGTGGTGTTATTTATCTAGTACAGCTGTGCTGTGCTTTATGTGATGGTATTTGTATGTGTTTAAATTTGACCACTTTTCTTATCTCTTTCTTTTAGTAACTATATCAGAGTGTGAGGTATAAGCCCACCGAATCCAGAGACGTCATCATGAAGTTATATGTATTTCTGGTTAACACTGGGACTACCCTAACATTTGACACTGAACTTACAGTGCAAACGTGAGCTGTATTTCATTTGTTTGCATCAGCTTTGCATTTTATACATGAAAAAACTTAATAGGAACAATTTGATTTGTGCAAATTATTGCTTTGTTAAATAAGAGTAGTGATAATACAAGTCTTAAATGCAATATTTCATCTCAGCATATTATCTTTCTCTGAAATGCTAAAGTTAAAATCATTAAGTTGTGCTTTATTCTATTGTGTGACTATATTATTTACAAGAAACAACTCACCCACAAACATACTGATTTCAACCCAAGTTATTAACTAGAAGTAAGTTTTCATAGCTGATTTCTATTCTAAATTTTACAGTACTCTGCTAAGGGGATTGTTACTAGCTATATAAAGCAACATGTATCAATCCCATGTTTTTTAGTGATTTAAAAAAATTCCCTCATATTATTAAAGGCAATATTTGACTTTTAGCCAAATTAGTGGAAATCATGTGTCTAATAATTTTCCAGCTATGCAGGGGTTTCAAATATTTGACTAATAAATGTCCTCTTATATTTTTAAAAATGGGGAGAAGTCTCAGGGGAAGAAAAATATATTTTGAGGCCAAATGGCGGGGAATAGAAATAGCAAATAAGGAGGGGAGGGGCAAAAGTAGGTTTACGGTAGTGAGTACAGTAAACAAGTTTATTCTTGTATTATTATTATTTGTTATTTTTCACATGAATAACTATAAACCTACTTTTGCCTCACCCCCCTATTCTAAATCTGCTTATATTTTTATAGTGGCCAAAATAGCAAAGACTTGATAACAAAATAGAATTTTGACACTGAAAGTATTATAATTTATGGAATTAATAATCTTAGTTTTAAAATGGAACTGTGAAATTATTAACTTAAAATTTTTTTTTAGTTTTATATAATACGATTTTACCTATAAAGGAATTATTTTTGAAAGATAGGAAAAGGATATAATTTTCATATGGTTTAGATTTAATATATGCTTGTGTAATATGATGTGGAGTTTTTATAATACATCCTATGCTTTGAGGATTTTTACTGACCTGATGCTAATCAGGCATTCCTTTGCTACATTATATAAAGAGCACAAAAATAAATGTCTACTGTCTCTATTTCATAGACTCACTTTTAGATGTGGCACATGGCTTGACTTATTCACCTAAGATTAATTATTAAATTAACTATGAAATTAAACTTCTAACTCCAATTCCAGAAATAAGAAACTTAGATACTTTTACATAGTATTACATTGATAATAAGCATATTTGACATGGGGCTAATGTAAATAACTGGTTTTTTACCTTTTTGTTAGTGTTACAGATCTTAAGCATGCTATTCATAGCAAATACAAGATCGCTATTCAGCACCAGGTGCTGGTGGTCAACGGAGGAGAGTGCATGGCTGCCGACAGAAGAGTGTGCACCTACAGTGCTGGGACGGTAGGTGTCCAGCAGCCCTTTCACTCGGACGTGCTTCGGCTCCTCAGAGAGGGCGTGGGGAATCAGCCTTCCGAAGTGAGGCTTACCTGCTTCATGTCTTAAGGGGTTGTGCATGGTCACTGTTTGTGATATTTTACTTCAGCGTTTTTTTTCTTTGCATTTTTACTTTCATAGGACACAAATCCAATTTTTCTTTTTAACAAAGAAATGATCTTATGTGAACTCCCACCTGCTATTCCTAAAACTACCTTTTCAACAGAAAATGACATGGAAATAAAAGTTGAAGAGTCACTAATGATGCCTGCAGTTTTTCACACTGTTGCTTCAAGAACACAGCTTGCAGTGGTAAGATATAAGTACATTATGAGATGCAATAATACTTAGTTACATCTAGTAAAACTTAAAAAATTAATAGCTGGTGCTTTTAACAAAATGAAGTCTTACACATATACTTGGTAATATTTTCATGAATTATTATTAGTCATTTGTGAACATTCTAACATTTATTACTTCTAAAGCATTCAAATCTAAATAGCAAGGCCTGTGGCTCAGTTGATTGGAGTGTCATCTCAAACACCAGAAGGTGGTAGTTCGATTCAGGGCACATGCCTAGATTGTGGGTCAGTGTTTCTCCTATGTTTTCTCTTCTCATCTCTCTCTTCTCTTCACTTTTCTATTCTTCCTCATACCCTCCCTAGAATCAACTTAGAAAAAAAGAATATTGACTTATGAATCCAACACCCTTCCCTTTTAAATTTAATGCTGTATGTTGATTTTTCCATATTGGTATCATCATACAAAAATATTTTATCTTATGCTACTACAATATTTCATTGTATTGGTACAAATTATTTATGATAGACATTGAGATTCTTAGCATTTTATTTCATAGTATTGATAAAAAAAAAAACCCTTTGACTATTCTTTATTTGACTAAGCTCTTTTAAAAAATATTTTTATTGATTTCAGAGAGAAAAGGAGAGGGAGAGAGAAGGAAATATCAGTGAGAGAATATCATTGATTGGTTGCCTTCTGCATGCCCCACCATGGGGATTGAGCTGGCAACCCGTGCATGTGCCCTGACCTGGAATGAAACCATGACCTCTGGTTCATAGGTTGAGGCTTACCACTGAACCACACCACCTGGACCCATTTTACTTTTGATAGTTATTGCTGAGTTGCCCTAAGTAGATGCTTTACCTTTATATACTTCCAGCAGCAATGAGTTAGGTGTTTTTCTTCCTCCACTATTATAATAAACAGGCACAAGATTAACTAAAGCATTCCCTTAAGAATGCTTTCTTTAAAATGTGTTCAGAATGCTTTCATATATAAATATGTGCACAGAAAACATTACCTTTTTTTCTTTTTTTCTTTTTTTCTTTTTCAATGTAGGAAATGTATGAAGTTGCCAAGAAACTTAGCTCCTTCTGTGAAAGTCTGGTCCATGATGAACACCTTCAACACCAGGGCTGGGCTGCAATAATGGCCAATCTGGAGGACTGTTCAAATTCATACCAAAAGCTACTTTTCAAGTTTGAAAATATTTATTCAAATTATCTGCAATCTATAGAAGACATCAAGCTAAAACTTACTCAGTATGTGTGCCATTAAAATGGATAATAAGATGTTTAAAATACCTTTGCAATGTATCAGTAGATTTTTTTAGTGATTAATATTTAAAGTAGGGAATAATTGAAATTCATTTTTGAGAATTTTATGATACTGTTTTAATTTTTAAAAGAAACTTTTATTGATTTCAGAGAGGAAGGGAGAAGGAGAGTTAGAATATCAGTGATGAGAATAATTGATTGGCTGCCTCCTGCATGCTCCCTACTGGGGGTCAAGCCTGAAACTGGGTATGTGGCCTGACCAGGAATCAAATCATGACCTCCTGGTTCATAGGTGGAACTCAAGCACTGAGCCACACCAGTTGGCCGATGATGCCTTTTGTAGACTCCAAAATAATGGTCAGTTTTCCTCACCACATACTTACAGTTCTCTCACATTTCTAGTTCTTGTGTTGTTTTCTTTATGTAAAAGACTTAAAATACTTTTGACCCAAGAATCTGCATCCTCTCATCTTGCTAACAACTTTCCAAGAAAGTAAAAGTAACATTAAAAAAACAACAACACATATCTAATGGAAATGGAAAAAATTTCAAAATATTAACCGATCAAGGAAAATGTAATTTCGTTTTAAAATGTGGCCATATGCTTTAGGTTTGCTAAGATGGAAAAAAGCCAGTGTGTTCTACCTCTGTTTAGACGGTTTTCTGGTTCTTTGTATATAAGCACATCTGATACCCTTTGCTTCTTTTTAAAAAGGGCTATAATGAAAATATAGCAATATTTTCTGTTACATAGAAAAAAAATATATGCTTTCATTTTTTTGTGTTTAGTATTTTTATTGCCTTGAATTGAGATTTTTTTCATTCATTCATTCATTCATTCATTCATTCAAGTGAACCTTGAATAAAGTTAAGTTTCTGTATTTATGGCCTAAATCTTTAGAAGATTTGGCCTTAAGTTGACAATGGGACAAATCTTGGGAAGAAAAGGGAATCATTAATTAAGACTTGAAATATCTTTTAAAATTTTATATAAAAACCTTTTCAAGTAACTATTTAAATTTTAGAGAGTTGCTTAGATATGTTAATTTAATGTAGAACCCGGAATCATTTTATATATATTTTTACAGAAGACACATCATCAAGATTTTTTCTTTTACCTATGGCTTATGACAACATATGTCTATTTTATTTTCATGGTCTGATGAATGTAAGAGTTACCTTAATCTTTATTAAGATTGTTAATTTTATCCTGTGCTTTCAGTATGTCAAAAATACTTGATTGACTTAAAGATAAAAATTATCCTAAGAGACTGCTATGGTAAATCTTGTCTGTTAGTTTGAATTTCTTATATTTTAGGTTTGATAAAAACCAGGTGTTCACTTATGTGAACTGACAAGCTTTAGAATTTAATGTGTTGATACCTTTCTCTCCATCTAACTAGGTTTAATTTAAAGAATACCTCCTAGGTTGCTTTATATATGTATAACATAATAGAAAGGTGGTAAGATTTGTGTAATAATAAAATGCTAATCTTTCAAAATGTTGATCTCTAATTAGAGTAATCCTGTTATTTTCCTAACACAACTTTTATATTTTAAGTTTAGGAACTGCGGTTTCAGTAATGGCCAAGATTCCCCTGTTGGAGTGCCTAACCAGACATAGTTACAGGGAATGTTTGGGAAGAGTGGATTCTTTACCTGAACATGAAGACTCAGAAAAGGCTGAGATGAAAACTTCCACTGAACTGGTGCTTTCTCCTGACACGCCTAGGACAACTAACAAATCCTTATTAACCTCATTTCACAAGTCAGTGGAACATGTAGCCCCAGATACCACAGATGTTGAAATTGGGGAAACTTGTCAAAGTACTGCTCAGCAGGATGAAACTTCAGTAGATGCTAAAGACAGAGATCTGCCCTTTTTTAATGTTTCTTTGTTAGACTGGATAAATGTTCAAGATAGACCTAATGACGTGGAATCATTAGTTAGGAAGTGCTTTGATTCAATGAGCAGGGTAAGTAATGTTAATTTGATATTTCTTATTATTTAAATTATACTAAGTATGAAGTGGGAGAATGGGTATTGTATTAAAATAGAAATAATGACTTTTAGAGTAAAAGAAAATTTTGTTTTTTATAGGTTTCATTTACACTGATGATTTACATTGAATGAAATACACACATTCTTCAGTAGTTAATTCTATGTATAGTTTTTTTAAAATATATATATATATATTTTATTGATTTTTTTTACAGAAGGGAAGAGAGAGGGATAGAGAGTTAGAAACATCAATGAGAGAGAGTCATCGATCAGCTGCCTCTTGCACACCCTCCACTGGGGATATGACTGCAACCAAAGTACATGCCCTTGATCGGAATCGAACCCGGGTCCCTTCAGTCCCCAAGCCGACGCTCTATCCATTGAGCCAAACCGGTCTCGGCTCTATGTATAGTTTTAATTGTGAAAATTTGAGTCTATTTCAGTCATCTTTTTTTAGCCCTTTATCACCCTAATAATTTACAGCTAGTCTTTGGTTTGTACAATACTTTGGATTGGAATTGTGTATACATTGGATTCAGTTACCATGAACTTGAGAAAAGTGAGATGTGCACATATGCACAAGTTTCAGTGCAAAGGAAGTACTGCCTATATTTAAATAATGTCTGTTTCCTTTTTTGTGGTGTTACAAATGGTTAATTTATTAATTATACTAGAGGCTTGGTACATGGGATTCATGCACTAGTGGGGGGTGTGGCTGGCTGTGGGAGCGCTGCTTATCTGGGTCAGCTTAAGGACACTTCCACTGTGGAAGTGCACTGACCACCAGGGGGCAGCTTCTGCATTGAGCATCTGCCCCCCTGGTGGTCAGTGTGCGTCATAGGGACTGGTCAACCAGTCATTCTGGTCTTGCTACTGTTTGATCACTGGGCTTTTATTATACAGGATAGGATTGTATTCTTGATAATAACATTAGAATGGTTTGTTTTTAACTGCTTTTGTCTATTATCTGTGAACCAGAAGTTGCACGTAAAAGAAATGATTTAGGTCCTTTTGACTGTAGAAGTCATGGAATGCACCATGAAGAAGGCAGTGTTTGTGACCCTTACAGAGAGGCAGCAATGGGCTTTAAAAGCGAGGCGGTACATCAAGGTGAACCAAGGTCAGAAGTAGAGAAACACAGGGTTTATGTGGAAACAGTAGGCAATTCAGTTTCAAAAGAAGGTAGGTCTGGAAGGAATTATTGGTATTAGATCACAGAACCCTTCACTGTATTCTGTGTTTTTGGATGTCATTGTGGGTTGAAAGAAACCATTTAGGGATTTCCACCGGAAACGTAATGAACTAGTAATAGAACATATTATAGTTGATATTCATACATAGATATTAACAAGCAGAAACACAGGATGAAAATGTATAAGGATCAGGGATTAAAAAAGGATTAGGAGTTAGCTCTATAGATGTTATGCTGAAGTGATGTAAAAAAGAGTGAAAATGGCCCAATAAGCACTGAGTGCTTTGGGTTTATCTGTGTTAATGGATTAGGAAGGAAAAGGAGCTAGAAAAGGGTATGTGAAGGAACTCCTGAGGTAAGGCCAAAAGCTTTAAAATTTGGAAAAGTGCTTAATGTAAAAGAGTCTCAACTGAAACAAGGTCATTGGTGATCTTTGGCTAATGGTTTTATGGAGAATGCCTGCAGAAAGCCTGCCCGTGTAAAGTATTCCCTGGGAAAGGGCTGACTGCAGTTGATTCAGCTCCTTGAGGAGCAAGCGATTGAGGACAGAGATCTCTCCAGGAGGGAAGTAAATTTGAAGATGTTTAGAGAAAAGTGGGATTGATAAGATAAATGTCCAAAGAATGTGTTTTAGACCTTAAAAATTACATTTTATTTGGGATAGTAACAGTTGAATAGTTTGTGGCATTGATTGAAATGTGTAATTCCTGGAAACATATTCTTCTTTGTTACTGTTGTTAAGCCTCACCCAAGGATTTTTTTCCATTGACTTTTTTAGAGAGAGTAGAAGGGAGGGGAAGAGATAAAAGAGAGAAACATTGATTTGAGAGAGACACATTGATTGGTTGCCTCTTGCACATGCCCTGACCAGGGCCTGGGACCAAGCTTGCAGCCAAGGTACATGTCCTTGACCGGAATCGAGCCTGGGACCCTTCGATCTGTAGGACAATGCTATATACGTTGAGCCAAACTGCGAGGGCCATGATCGGCAAACTGTGGCTGGTGAGCCACATGCGGCTCTTTGGCCCCTTGAGTGTGGCTCTTCCACAAAATACCACGGCCTGGCGAGTCTATTTTGAAGAAGTGGCGTTAGAAGAAGTTTAAGTTTAAAAAATTTGGCTCTCAAAAGAAATTCAATCGTTGTACTATTGATATTTGGCTCTGTTGACTAATAAGTTTGCTGACCACTGGGTTAGGGCTATATTCTAAATTATGTATTTCCATACAATCAATAGTTCTTGTGTTTTATTAACATAATTATCCTATTCTTGACCTTCTTTTGAAAATAAAATCTCAGATAACTGTATTTTTCTCTGAAGCAGTATCAAACTATTTGATGACAATTTATTCATGTGTCCTTGTCATTTAGCTTGATCCAAGGATTATTCGGCCATTTATAGTAGAATGCCGTCAAACTATTGCCAAACTTGATAATCAGAATATGAAAGCCATTAAAGGACTCGAAGATCGGCTGTATGCCCTGGATCAGATGATTGCTAGCTGTGGCCGACTGGTGAATGAGCAGAAAGAACTTGCTCAGGTGATTTGATATTTTTTCTTAATCTTAGCTCTAAACACTATTTTTTATTTATATAGCCTCAAATTATCTACCAAAACATCTAGTCTTATCCATTATCTTTGAATACATTAAGCATATAGTAATTAAAGGCTATATCTGTTAACACTTTTATCTGTGCCTGTGTGTCTATGAATATTTTCTCTTGTTTCTTACAGATTTCTAGAGAGAATTTGTTTGCTTATGGCATGTTGTAGGGGCTATTACAATTTTAGATCATCACCTTAATCCTGTTTCAGAGGTTTAAATGAGAAGTTGGTTTTCCAGTCCTTGTGATGCTTAGTCTATCAGTTTTTTAGGATACTTGTGACCCCATGCATGGATTTGTGCACATTGAAAGGAAATTAATTAGAAGGTGGCCAGTGGGGCATGACTAGGCGAGACAGGCCAGACACACCCTGGAGCCAACCTCCCATGGTCCCTCCTTAGCATAGCTTGAAGGGTGTCTGTGGAATGAGCAGGGTCCCTCCAACAGCTGGGGTCACTTGGCCTGGCCTGTGGGGATCGGTCCGAAACCGGTTCTCCAACATCCCGAGGAGTTCCGGAGTGCGAGAGGGCACTCTGCAAAGTTGCTGTTGTACTGGGTGTGGAACACAAATGCAAGTGTGCAGTAAACTAGATGCAGGGCTGATAGTGCCTCAGCAGCTCCTTCATTGAGCGTTGCCCCCTAGTGGTCAGTGTGCATCATAGTTTCCAGTCAGATGGACACTTAGCCTTTTATACATATAGATATCTTTTTTTGGGGAGTGTTCCATTGTTATTTTATTTGGCAATGTGTGTTCCATAGTTATTTTCTTTGGCTGGCACTGGTGTCTAGCTCCATAAGGATTGCTAACCTATTCTTAGCCTTGGGTTCTTTTTTAGGCATCAGCAATTGTCTCTAGGGCAAGGCATTCCCAGTTGCCTAACTCACCTCTCCAAGTCTCCTCCTCTTTCTAAATCCTGGCGCCTTCAATATGTCTGACTCCTTCACTGTTCTTGGATATCTAATAACTAATGCCATGGGAAGGTTGGTTTACATTATCGTTACATCACAGTCTGCCATCACTAGAGGCAGAAATCTGAATTCTTGGTCTTTTGTTTCTTCTTCAGTGTCATTCTCTTAAACCTCCATAGGACGAATCAATCAGTTTATTTAACTGTACTTCTTTTGGTAATTATTTAGGTTATTTCCATTTTTTTCTTATTATAAACATTGTTTTAATATTCTAGTGTATTTATCTTTATGTGCATATTCTAGCATTTCTTTATTTTATTTTTTAAATATTTTTAACTTGACTTTAGAGAGGAAGGAAGAGGGAGAGAGAGAGAAACACCAGTGATGAGAGAGAATCATTGGTTGTCTGCCTTCTGCACACCCCGCTGGAGATCGAGCCCACAGCCCAGGCATGTGCCCTTGACCGGAATCAAACTTGAGACCCTTTAGTCCACAGACTGACACTCTATCCCCTGAGCCAAACTGACTAGGGCTTTTTTAGTTTATTTTTAATTTTTCTGTTGACATTCAGTATTTTTTAGTATTTTTTCCTTTTCTTTTTAAAAAAAAATATTTTATTGATTTTTCACAGAGAGGGATAGAGAGTTAGAAACATCAATGAGAGAGAATCATCGATCAGCTGCCTCTTGCACAACCCCCTACTGGGGATGCGCCTGCAACCAAGGTACATGCCCTTGACCGGAATCGAACCCGGGACCTTTCAGTCTGCAGGCCGATGCTCTATCCACTGAGCCAAACCAGTCCCGGCTAGTATTTCTTTTTTAAAATATATTTTCATTGATTTCAGAGAGGAAGAAAGAGGGGGGGGGGGGGAGAAAACACTAACGATGAGAGAGAATCCTTGATTGGCTACCTTCTGCATGCCCCACACATGCCTACAACCCGGGCATGTGCCCTCACTGGGCATAGGTCAATGCTCAACCACTTAGCCATGCCAGTTGGGCTATATTAGTATTTCTTTAGGCACAGCCTAAAAACTGAAACATTGCCCAGGCACACTTTTTTTCTGATCTTTTGGTCTTGATTGAATCAGGTGTATTTTCTCTCAGTGTTCTATATTACAAATAATGTGGTTTTGGTGTCAGGAAATCCTTTATTAATGGTCCAAAATTTAGATTTGGGGATTCTATATTTTTCTTGGATTCAGTAAAAAGTATTTAAAAACCTATTAAGACTGACAGGAGATAAAAGCAGTATGTTATTTTTAAATGAATTAAGTTATAGAAAAGTATAACCATAGTAGAGTATATTCTATTTTGAAATAAAGTAAGATAAAATTACTATTGAAATTGTCTTTTTATACATAGACTATTTTGACTTAATTTTAAATAAACATCATTTAAATTTGAATATGTTCATGATGTTTAGAATAACATGAAATGGAGATAACTACTAGAAATTTCGAAGACACATTTGCTGTTCTTTGCTGATCATTATGGTTAAATCCCTAGAAAGATAATCATTTAATACAGTAAGTATGGCAGTCAGATGGATGTTCAAGTTTGAAATCTTCCATAATGTGTTATCTAGTAACTATAATAGGAAAAGAACCTTATTTAACACAATAAAAATACTTAGTAATAACCTCATCAAGAGATTATAATTATAACCTCTGAACATTTTTTAAGTATTTGCTATTGGGCTTTCATTTGGTTGGTTTGAAAAAAAGAATACTTTTACCTATGGACGTCTGTCTAAATTTATAGCCTAAAGACAATTCCTTTCCTACTTAACAAAATGATGTAAAGTTCACCTATGAAAATAAATGAATGAGGAGAGCTAAGAAAAAGTTTTTCCCTACCAAATAATAAAATCTTACCCCGTTTTCCTGAAAATAAGACAGTGTCTTATATTAATTTTTGCTCCCAAAGATGAGCTAGATCTTATTTTCAGGGGATGTCTTATTTTTCCAAGTGCTAGGTCTTATTTTTGGGGAAACACGGTAATAAAAGAGTAATATTCAAATTAACCATCACTCTACTATACCCACCAGTCACGCCCACCAGCCAATCAGAGCAAGTATGCAAATAACCCCAAGCAAGATGGCTACAGCCACAGAGAGCAGGAGGGAGGCTTGGGTTTTCCAGGCAGTAGAGGAAGCCAAGCTTTCTGCCTGTCTTAGCCAGCCTAAGCTTTCACTCAAGGCTACAAAGTTTCAATTATAGAAGGTAAACAAAATCCAAATAGAAATGGCAGTAGCCAGGGAACAAGCAGAAGGCTTGAATAGCTCCATGCTACAAAGTTTCAATTGTAGAAGGTAAATAAATTCCAGATACCAAGGCCTCCACTTGGGTCGCCAGGCAATGTGGCTGGCCTGCAAACCACCACAGACTCCCCTCTCTCCCACTTAGGCAGCTCCCCCCCCAAGGGAACCTCCACCCCAATACGGACACCCTTCAGGGCAAAGCAGCTGGGCCCCATCTGTGCACCAGGCCTCTATCCTATTTAATAAGAGTAATTGACCATCACTCCAGCACACAAGATGGTTGCCCCCATGTGGTCAAAGATACTGCCCCTATGTGGACACAAGATGGCCAGCAAGGGAAGACAGTTGGGAGGGATCAGGCCTGCAAGGGAGGGCAGTTGGAGGCGGTCAACCCTGTAGGTGAGGGCAGTTAGGGGTGCCAGGCCAGCAGAGGAGGGAAGTTAGGGGCAAACAGGCAGGCAGGGGAGCAGTTAGGCATCAATCAGGCTGGCAGGGAAGTGGTTGGGGTGATCAGGCTGGCAGGCAGAAGCAGTTAGGGGCAATCAGGAAGGCAGGCAGGTGAGCAGTTGGGAGCCAGCTGTCCTGGATTGTGAGAGGGATGTCCAACTGATCCCACTGGGATCAGGCCTAAATGGGCAGTTGGACATCCCTTGAGGAGTCCCAGATTGGAGAGGGTGAAGGCTGGGCTGAGGACACCCCTCCTTCACCCCTGTGCACGAATTTTCTGCACTGGTCCTCTAGTGTACTATAAAATTATACAGCTTAGTCATTGCTCTAAAGATAGCACAAAACATGTATCAGTGGAACAAAAGATAGTTAAGAAATACTGAGAGGAATGGCTTTTCAATAAAAAGTTCAAAGTTAATTTTTTTTTTATATCACGAAGTATGCAATATACAATTAAATATTGTTCAAGATTAAATCAGCTACTCTTTTTTTTTTTTAAAATATATTAAATTGATTTTGTACAGAGAGGAAGGGACAGAGATAAAGAGTTAGAAACATCAATGAAAGAGAGTCATTGATCAGCTGCCTCTTGCACACCCCCTACTGGGGATATGCCTGCAACCAAGGTACATGCCCTTGACTGGAATCGAGCCTGGGACCTTTCAGTCCTGAAGCCGGCTCTCTATCCATTGAGCCAAACTGGTTTCGGCAAATCAGCTACTCTTTCATGGCTTTAAATCCCTGACCATATTTCATTTAATATCATGCTCTTACCGACATGTTTAGTAGGTGTCTAGAAACATACTTTCTAGTTCTAATTAAGTTATTAAATGTATCTGGATAAGTGACTTTATCACCCTGGGCTTAACTTTCTTTTTCTAGCATGACAATGGAATAGATTAGAATATAGATTTCTTAAAAACTGAATCTTTTGTTATGACCACCTGTTACACATTTAAAAGAGTAGATTTTACAATCTTTGAAAGGAAGACAGTTCTTATTTAATATAAAGATATTCCTACTAAGTGAATGTTTATGTCTCTTATGTAACCAAGTTAATACTTTTAAAATATTTTCTCTCAAAGGGATTTTTAGCTAATCAGATGAGAGCAGAAAACTTGAAGGATGCGTCTGTATTACCCGATTTATGCCTGAGTCATGCAAACCAGTTGATGATTATGTTGCAAAATCATAGAAAACTATTGGATATTAAACAGAAGTGTACCACTGCCAAACAAGAGCTAGCAACTAATCTCCATGTCAGATTGAAGTAAGTGATTTTGTTATCTTATTTAGGATGTTTAGAATTGATGTTGTTTGATTTCTCCCAAGTGGAGAAGTGTTTTTCTCTTGCCACTATATTGAAATTAGATTATTTTTATAGTTTTTAAATTTCATTCTATAGGTGGTGTTGCTTTGTAATGCTTCATGCTGATCAAGATGGAGAGAAATTGCAAGCTTTACTTCGCCTCGTAATAGAGCTGTTAGAAAGAGTGAAAATTGTTGAAGCTCTTAGTACAGTTCCTCAGATGTACTGCTTAGCTGTTGTTGAAGTTGTAAGGAGAAAAATGTTCATAAAACACTACAGGGAGGTATGCAAGTTGAATTCTGTTTTAATTGTGTATGAATCTTAATGAATCGTTGAGTGATATTAACATAAGCTTTCCTCTTTTTAGTGGGCTGGTGCTTTAATCAAAGATGGAAAGCGACTATATGAAGCTGAAAAGTCAAAAAGGGAATCCTTTGGGAAATTATTTAGTAAGTGTTCTTCATTAACAACTTGTTTATTTTTTTAAGTAAAAAATGCTATTTTTAGTCTATAAATATGAACATAGCATTACATAGTATGTATATGATTTTAATTACTATTGAAATCTATAGAAAAATTTTAGGACTATAGAGTTGACTTCATTATTAATTTTAAACTTGAAGTATTATCAATTTCCCCTCCCCACAAATCAGAGGGTATTTTTTGTTTGTTTTTTATCTCAAAGTTATAATTGTATTAATTTCTTTATACAGGGAAGTCTTTTTTAAGAAATCGCCTATTTAGAGGATTGGATTCCTGGCCACCGTCCTTTTGTGTATGTATTTATTTCCTAACCATGACCAAATTTTGTCTTTATTCAAACCTTTATTTCAGAAGTAGAAGTATTTATCAGAATGCTAGCGGCCCGGTGCACGAATTCATGCACATCGAAAGGAAATTAATTAGAAGAAATATTTTGCTCTTTGCCCGTTCTCTATAATAGAAGTGTCAACCAAATTCATTATTAACAATGACAGCTGGAAACATGCATGCGATTGGCTCCAGCGAGAGCTTTATATGTATCTTGTATGGGCGAGTCAACTTAGCCTTTTATAAATATAGAATAAACTCGCTTAATTATACCTGCTTTCTAATTTAGCTAAACTTTTTTCAGCCCAGTGAAGCACTCCAACTTCTCTTTCAGGTAATTGTCAGCAACAGAGCTGACACAAAGCAGATTATTATTGTAGATCACACAGGGAGAACAAAGGGTATAATATTTAACTGCAGCAGTGTTTGACTATATTCTGAACAGTGAGAAAACCTGAAGTCATTTTGAAGGTCCATCATTTCTTTTCATTTGCATCAATTTTCTAAGCTTTCTAAATCTTCGTTTTCTGGCTAATTAAAAAAAAAAATTTCTCCCAAGTCTTGTATCTACCTACTTTAGGACTTCTGTGAGTATTAAATGAGATGAAGCATAGGAAAACACTTCACAGACATTTGGTTACAGTGTAAAATGTTTCCACCTGGCTATAATGCTCATTGCAAGGGAGAGGAAGCCAGATGTTGGTTCGTGATGTCATTACCCGGACAGACACTTAGCATATTAGCCATATGTATGTATGTGTATGTATATATTTAATATATTCAACTTAAAAAAGCTTTTGGCTTTAAAAACACCAGTTGCTATAAAGGCTTAAAATATATTTATAGTTTTTTATTTAGAGTCTTAATCACTCAAGGGGATGTCTTATTACACTGTTAAGATTGATAAGACTAGATTCTCTTTATATGATAGTATTTTGTCTTTCTCCTCTTTACCTTTTTCTTTTTACTTCCTTCTTCCTTTTCTTTTTCTCCTGCTCGCACCTATTTTCTTCCTCTCTTCATTCTCTTACCCGTCAACCCCCTTTCTTTCATTTTATGTTTCAGCAAATCAGAATAGGGTGACTCTTCAAGTGGCTTTAATTAAAACCATAAAATATAAGTTTGGTATATTTCTAAATCAGACTTCATGGCCAAAGAAGTTTACGAAATGCTGTAGGTTCCCTACCCCCTCTCCTACTCCTCCTCTACCCCCCCGACATTCTGCTTGTGCCATTCTCTGTGCCACAGGCTTTCTTAGGGCTTTAAATGCATGCATTTTTGAACATTAAGAATGAGTGCTTTAATACGGTTCCCACACTTGTTTAATGAAGAGCATCTTGACACTTCTACATCTACTTAGGGTAATGATGCAAACAAATTGAGTTATTTTTAAAGGTCATTTCTTGGCCATATTATAAAGAAATGGTAGCATTTATCAGAAATTTTTTAAAATTAAGGGTTTGTATTTATTTTTTAAAAAAATATATTTTTATTGATTTCAGAGGGGAAGGGGGAGAGAGAGAAAAAAAAATCAATGATGATAGAGAATCATTGATTGGCTGCCTCTTGCATGCTCTCTAGTAGGGATTGAGACTGTAACCCGGGCATGTGCCCCTGACTAGAATCGAACCTGGGACACTACAGTCTGCAGGCCGATGCTCTATCTATTGAGGCAAATAGGCTAGGGCAGTGGTCAGCAAACTCATTAGTCAACAGAGCCAAATATCAACAGTACAACGATTGAAATTTCTTTTGAGAACCATATTTTTTAAACTTAAACTAATGCCACTTCTTCAAAATAGACTTGCCCAGGTTGTGATATTTTGTAGAAGAGCCACATTCAAGGGGCCAAAGAGCCGCATGTGTTTGCGAGCTGCAGTTTGCCGATCATGGGGCTAGGGCTAAGGGTTTGTATTCTAAAAAATGGCAAGGAAGAAAATGTTACATGGGAAAAAATGATTTTTACTAAGTTAAAACAACAAGGTATGTGAACAGGTGATAGGAGTAGATATAGGGGTAGGGCCAGATAGAGCTTCATGATCATTTTATAGGTCAAGGAAAAATTAGGAAATAATCTATGTACTAGTGAAACAAGTGATTCCTTTAATGTTGGTGAAAATGTTAGAATTTCCCATAAAAAGATGCTGAAAACAAAAGGGCAGGGACAAATACACCAGATGATTACCAGCAACTGTATCCCAGTTATTTAAGACTTAGAAAAATAATACATCATGTCATTGATTAGTTCTTCATATTTAATTTATTATTATTTTTCTATTAAATGTGAGTAAATTTTTGAAGCATTTTTGTTTAACTGTTTTACTCAATTTGATTATAATGAGACCACTTATTATTTGTATATTTTGTGGTGAATTATTATTATTATTATATTGTTATTTTGTACAGACACAGAAACCTCGAAAGTTTGACTGTGAGCTTCCAGATATTTCATTAAAAGATTTACAGTTTCTGCAGTCATTTTGTCCTTCAGAAGTTCAGCCATTCCTCAGGTAAATGTCATTAGTATTTTTAACTGTAGATATCACCTTACTCTGTTTTCCTCATTCTGGAGCTGTGGAAAGTAGCACCAGCCCTCCTAGGAGATTCCAGAATAGAGAACTGTTTTATGATAGGCTGACCCTCCTATGACTGCTTTAGGAAATTTCTGGGGAATATTAAAGTGAACAGAAAATTAATGTCTTATGTGTAGTAAGTTATTTTCTAGTAGTCACTCCTGCTTTGCATACTGTGGGAGGTTCCTAATATTTTAATGATGATGGCTTAGGTTTCTTGAGCTTTTTCTGGTAATGATTGAAAAAGGATGTTAAGGCAGTAGTTTTGTGTTTTTATTAATTAAAAATATTTTTATTGATTTCAGAGAGGAAGGGAGAGGGAGAGAGAGATAGAAACATCAATGATGAGAGAGACTCATTGATCGGCTACCTCCTGCATACCCCCTACTGGGGATCAAGCCTGGAATCTGGGCCAGTGCCCTTGACTGGAATAGAATCCAGGACCCTTCAGTCCACAGGCTCTTTCTCTACCCACTGATACAAACCGGCGAGAGCTGAAGTAGTGATTTTTTACATAGGTTAAAATATTTGGTTGTACTTATTCATCTTTTAATTAAGAAATCAGAAATCTAATTTGTTTACATTTTGTTTCAGGGTCCCCTTACTTTGTGACTTTGAACCTCTACACCAGCATGTACTTTCTCTACATAATTTGGTAAAAGCAGCACAAAGTTTGGATGAAATGTCACAGACCATTACAGATCTACTGAGTGAACAAAAGGCAAATTAAGTTGTTTCAAATGGTTCACTTTATTAGTGTAAATGTTGATACTGCTGCAGTTGTATAAGCCTGTCTCTCTCTTTTCCAGGCCTCCACGAGTCAGACATCCCCACAGTCGACTTCCTCACCAAGAGTAGAAAGTGCAACAGGAATTACAACAACTACCTCACCAAGAACTCCTCCTCCACTCACTGTTCAGGATCCCTTATGTCCTGCAGTATGTCCCTTAGAAGAATTGTCTCCAGATAGCATTGATGCACATACATTTGATTTTGAAACTATCCCCCATCCAAACAGAGAACAGACTGTTCACCAAGTTTCTTTAGATTTGGATTCATTAGCAGAAAGTCCTGAATCAGATTTTATGTCTGCTGTGAATGAGTTTGTAATAGAAGAAAATTTATCATCTCCTAATCCTATAAGTGATCCACAAAGTCCAGAAATGATGGTGGAATCACTTTACTCATCAGTTATCAATGCAATAGACAGTAGACGTATGCAGGATACCAATATATGTGGTAAAGAGGATTCAGGGGATCATGTGTCTCTAAATGTCCAGTTGGAAAAATGTAGGGTTGTTGCACAAGACTCACAATTAACTATACAGACCATCAAGGAAGACCTTTGCCACTTCAGAACATTTGTACAAAGAGAACAGTGTGATTTCTCAAATTCTTTAAAGTGTATAGCAATAGAAATAAGGAACATTATTGAAAAGGTAAAATACTCTGTGGAAATAACACTAAATGAAAAACATCAAAAAGAATTGCAGTCTCTAAAAAGTGATTATGAAGACAAACTTGATGCACTAATCAAAGACAGTGAAGAAAATGAAAGTAAAATTAAAAAGCTAAAAGGAGACTTAGTATGCCTTGAGGAGGTGTTACAAAATAAAGATAATGAATTTGCTTTGGTTAAGCATGAAAAAGAAGCTATCATCTGCCTGCAGAATGAAAAGGACCAGAAGCTGCTAGAAATGGAAAACGTAATGCACACTCAGAATTGTGAAATTAAAGAACTGAAGGAGTCACGAGAGAAAGCATTAAAAGACTTTAAAAAGCTCCATGTTGAAAATGATGAGAAGATGCAACTGTTGAGGACAGAACTTCAGAGCTTAGAGCAAAGTCATTTAAGGGAATTGGAGGACACCCTGCATGTCAGGCACACACAGGAATTCGAGAAAGCTATGACAGACCACAAAGATTCTTTGGAGAAATTAAAAAATGAAAATCAACAAAGAATTGATCAGATAAAAGAGTCCCATGCCACAATTATCCAGGAAAAAGAGCGACAGCTACAGGAGTTGAAACTCAAGGTTTCTGATTTGTCAGATACGAGATGTAAGTTAGAGGTTGAACTTGCATTGAAGGAAGCAGAAACAGATGAAATAAAAATTTTGTTGGAAGAAAGCAAAGCCCAGCAGAATGAGACCTTAAAATCGCTCCTTGAACAAGAGACGGAAAATTTGAGAACAGAGATAAGTAAACTAAACCAAAAGATTCAGGAAAATAATGAAAATTACCAGGTGGGCTTGGCAGAGCTAAGAACTTTAATGACAATTGAAAAAGATCAATGTATTTCAGAGCTGATTAGTAGACATGAAGAAGAATCTAACATGCTTAAAGCTGAATTAAACCAAGTAACAGCATTGCATCATCAAGCATTTGAAATAGAAAAAAACCTGAAAGAAGAAATAGTTGAACTGCAGGGTAAATTGGACGCTGCATTGAGTGCACTTGAAAAACAAAAAGCTGAAAAACTCACCCAACAAGAGGAGAAGTATGAAGCTGTTATCCAGAAACTTGAGAAAGACAAAGAGAAATTCATAATGAGCCAGGAACAAGACCGAGAAGAGTTAATTCAGAAGCTTAATAGTGAAAAAGAAGAAGCCATTCAGACGGCCCTAAATGAATTTAAATTGGAGAGAGAAGCTGTTGAGAAAGAGTTATTAGAAAAAGTTAAACATCTTGAGAATCAAATAGGAGAAAGGTAAGAACTTTAGTCTGTGATTATAAAATAAAAATATTGATTCAAATGTCAATTTTTTTGTGTAGGTAAGCATAGTACCTTGATTTATTCATTTTCTTAGTTAATGGAGCAATTGAGACATATTTATGAAATTAAAACTTTTATTTTTTAAATGTTTATTGTAAACATTTTGAAAATCTATAGTAGATTTTAATAATGAATTAAAGTTTTGGGTTTCTAGAGAAAAATTTTTTTTGAAAATTTCAAAATACTTTCAAGAGATTATTTTCCATTTCTTACAAATTTCTTTTATTGTTAATCTTCACTCGAGGATATTTTTCCATTGATTTTCAGAGATAGAGAGTGCAGGGGAGGGGGAAAGAAGGATTGAGAGAAATGTAATTGGTTGCCTCCCGTACCTGCCAAGTCCAGGGCAAAGTTTTCAGCCTGCCTCTAATGCGTGTCTTTGACTAGAGTTGAACCCAGGACTTTTTAATCCACAGGCCAACTCTCCACTGAGCCAAACTGGTTATGGTATAAATTTATTTCTTTGGTTTTTTTGAAATTTTTTTCTCTAAATTCTTCAATTGAAAATTACTTATTTTTTTTTTTTTTTTTTTTTTAAATTGTGTATGTATTTATAAAAGATAACAGTTTTTCTCTGAGCAGTATTAAGTAAAGGCTGAATTCTAGATTGGGCTATATAAGTTTCATTATTGTTATTTTTTTGATGTTACAACTTCATTTATTTCTTTGGTGGTTCAAAAGATGTTTTTAAATCCCAGATTTTATATAGTGTTGTTTTTTTTTTTACTTTTATTGTTACTAATAACACTTTTTATTAAAGAAAATGTTCCCCAGGTTTTCTGTTCCTTCAAATTGAGGGATTTTATGGCTTAATAAAAAGTTTCTAGAACATTACCAATTAGTTCTATCAATTCTTCTTCCAGGTGAATATAGTTATATGTACATTATATTTGAATTTCTGTCTCTCGCCTTACCACTTTTACACAGTCACTTGTGATTGCCTTTCTGCTGTGTAATATATATTGGTGTACAGTGAAACTCCTCTGTATTCTGTGGGAATTAGAGGATGCAATATAGGAGTTAGAACCTGCATGAAATATTTTATAGAACTGGGGCAGTAAGGCCAAGGTAGTCGCTACTGAAGGCCAGGAGAATTCTGAGTGAAATATGAGGAAAAGAGACATTAAGCACACACCAAAGCTCATGGTTTCCATGGCTCACTGGGAAGCTGCTGCAACATTCAAGAATCTCTTCAAGCCCCAATGCTGTGGCTCCATCTGCAGCACACAATGGGTAGTTCCCATTTCCTTGGCAGGAGGCTCCTGTGAAACTGCATCTGGAGACAGCCACCTTTGGAGAGTTAGCCTGGGCTGCTTTTCTACTCTCCAGACTTGTACCTGTTCTTTTCATGGGCAAACTTGAAGTTATAAAGGGGATTCTGGGAAGTAGAGAATCTGCTTTACATTGCAGATGAGAAAAGAGATGAGGGCAATGGCAAGATGACGACAGTCTAGTACTGTATACCTTGTTTAAACTCAGTAACCACAAATCTCTTTTACTCATATTGAACTGCCAAATAAAGATACTTGAATGTTATGTTTCTGTCCTACGTGATTGAGCTTATATGTCTCATATCTCCTCAGATTATTGAACCCTGTCTTCAAAAGGTGAGAGTCAAATTTAGGCCATTCTAGCCATCTCAGAGATATCGATTCATTTTTCACACAGCTACATCTCTCTTTGATATTCTGCAAGTTGAATGCTGAAATAGAGGGTTAACTATCGTTACCACAACACATGTTACATACAAGGGAAATGGGAGAAGGAAAAGAGATGAAGATTGATTGATTTATGCAATTTTAAGTCCTATAGTCTTTATTGCTGTAATTAACCCTGTAACTCTAGTAGGTATTCACATCTTGCTTCTATTAACACACCCACTCTTTACCTCAGACATTACCTCAACTGGTTTTACTTGTTGATCTGAGGAGACTGTTAGTAATGGTCCATCCTCTAATATAGTTGCTGATAGTTTTCATTTGACTTATTTATTTTTTGGTAATCCTCACTTGAGGATATTTTTTTCCATTTATTTATTGGAAGTAGTGGGGGGTAGGGGTGGAGAGCAGCATTGATGTAAGAGAGACACATTGATTGGTTGCCGCCTGATTGCACCCCGACTGGGGCCAGGGATCAGTCCTGCAACCGCGATAGGTGGCTTTGGCTGGGAATTAAATTCGTGACCCTTTGGACCTTGGGTGGATGCTCTAACCACTGACTCAAACTGGCTGGGGCTCATTTGACTCTATTTTTGGTCACAGCAGTGCCAAAAGACACATTGGAAAAGCCCCTGACTTCCAGTAATAATCCTCTCTGCCCTCATATAGGAGAAACTGTTTCCCAGAGATAATTGAATTCAGTTATATCGATACAGCCTCCTCCTTTGCCTGTTGGTTCAGTGGCCTGAGGAGCCCTAATTAGCCAAGTTGTAGTTTAAGCTTCAGTTTAGTGGGACCCTGGCTGTATCTCTTGGTAAAGGATTTTCTTTTTTTGTGGGAGGTTAGGGGGACTATATTTGCTCTAAAATCTGTGGCCCCAAATTGTAGGGACAAGAAGCAAAATTTTTGTGAATATATTTAGGGACAATAGAGTAGTTACTCTTAATTTCTATGCCTTGTTCTCCAATTCATGTATTCTAACTATGGGAGAATTAGTCTCTCAGAGTGGTGTCTGGTCCAGAGCATGTATGCATTCTTTAATCTAGCCATGCAAAATTTCACCTATTTAGTGCTATAACTGAGTTTTCAGTAGTTTGGTCCACAGTTGTGTCAGGCCAGCTGCTTTAGGGATTGGCATACGTGGTGAGATTAGGACTCCCAGAGGCCTGAGTCCATGGCTGCACACCTTCCACTGGAGAGTAAAATTCCTTCTTCAGCAGCAGTCCTAGTGGAACACCATAGCAGTGACCAAGGCATTTTGTAAGTTCAGGAATGGATTTTCTCGCAGAAACATTGTGGGCATGCAAAAGAAATATATATAGAGAACAATGGACTATTTTTGTGAGAACAGATTACTTCTCATGATGGAAATGGTCAAGGGTAGTTGACCTGTCACCAGGTGTCTGGCTCGTCTCCCATGGAAGTGCTGCAATATTGGGGGCTCAGTATGCGTGGCAGCCCCCATCGCTGAGTCCAATACCTAACCTCACTTCCTGCATGTCAGCATTTCGAACAGGACTGGTGTGGCTAAAGACTGATATTCACAGAATGTTCATCTTGCCCATCTGATTATTAGGAGGTTCCTCAAAGTGGGACATTATATACTCAGAGGACTTACAGATCCTTATCCTGTGTGCCCATTTTCAGGAGGTTCATCTGTATTTCTGTTCTGCAAATATTGTCACCAGGTCTAGTCTAGTTTCTTCCAAGTCCCTCGCTGTCCAGGCAAGTCTTTAGCTAGCATCCATGCGTCCCTGGCCATTTCTCTGAGGCAATTCCAAACACACTGCTGCTGGGAAGATTTCCCTTCACTGCTGTTTTTCAGGATCCCTTCTCAGTGGGCTCTAGTACTTGAGCTGTGCTTTTGAATCGTGTCAGCATATTGTGCAGAATTATGAGGAAACCAGGTTGATCGGTTTCCTCTCCAACCCATATTGAATGCCATACTTGTGACGGAGAGCAAAGCAGCAATGTAGCAGGAGTAAGAATCTTGGAAACCCGCACCTCTTGGACCTTACTTGTGCCATCAGGATTTGTTTAAGCTCCAGCCCATATATGCCACATCTATTTTATGATGGACAACTCAGGTAACATGGTAACTTAGGAGACTATGTAAAATTTCTCAGTTTCTGTATAGACCCAGTAGCAAGCCATTTACCAGAGGAAAATAGTTACCAGCTCCAAAAATCCTAAGGGTCTCAACTGACTGTCTTATAGGACTTGCTAACAGTTTCATTCAGCATCTATTCCTGCTGCAGACGTGTATCTGTGGTAAAGATGGCGCAAGGGGTAGAGCAGCTTGCGTGATAGTTTGGACCTAGTGCAAGAGTGTCTCTTGCTGTGGACCTTACACAGAACGGGCCGCCTTAAAGGTTATTTCATAGGTGAGTCGCAGCAGCATACCCAGATGTACTATTATTGCACCCAAAATTCAGAGATGCTCAAGGGCATCTTGCTTGTTCACTGTGGAGGGAACACCTCATGCCCAGACCCTGGGATACTTAGAAATTTTTCTGTGCTGACCAGCTCCTCACTTTTCATGGTCTTTATTGCTCACTCTGGTAATAAACGTGTCTTCCCCTGGTTAGCTCACATAGTTACTTCTTTGTAGTCGGCTTAAGAAGCATATTGCCATAAATGTATAATGTGGTATCTTGAGGACTAGCAAGAAAACCAACTACTAGATTTTAACAGAGGACTGGAGAGTTGGTATAACCCGGAGATAAGACTGAAAGTATACTGCTGTCACTGTGGGTAAAGTCAAACTGTTGCTTGTGGTCTACACCAGCGGTGAACAAATCGTGCCTGTGGGAGTGCAACCTGCTGCTGGTTTTTTGTCAGTCCAGCCATATTGGAATACAGAGATGCTTGTTCCTTTCCCTCTGCCTGTGGCTGCTTTTGGCAGAGTTGAGTAGTTGTGACAGAGATCACCTGGCTAACTATTACTGCCCTTCTCCCTCTCCCCCCCCCCCAAAAAAAAAAAAAGTTTGTCCTGAATTATACTAATACGTGTAGATGGGAAAGAAATCACCAAATCAGTAGCTACATGCCAAGCCACTAGGCCTTGTTGATTTGCTCCAGGAAAGAGATCATATGTGAAACACATTTACTGGAGTCACTAACAGATTAAATTTATGATCATCTGTTGCATGCTTTTACACGTTTTATTCAGGACATACGCTTAAGTCAGATAAAACTGTGATGGAAATCTCTTCCCCTATATGGTTTGAAGTGAGAGACAGTTTTGGAAATTTTACTTGGTCCTCATTCTATGGC